AAATGCCATCGTGCAGCAGTGGATTGATAAGGGCCTGTGCATTACGTGAACCTCTCCGCTCTGGTACCACTCTACTCTTCTCCACGCAGTCTCTGCTCGAGCAACCTTGGCTCTTCTGTCAGAGCCCGCGGTCAGCCTGCGCTCAGTGGAAGGTCGCTCATTCTCCTCTGCTTCCCCCTTCTTCCCCACTCCCCCCCCGTGTCTAGAACTCCACTCCCCTAGCCGCCCGTGCTGTCGACTGCCTGTCTTCTGGCTCAAGTGCAGGCTCGAGACCTTCCCGTTAGCCTCATCCAGCGGTTGGCAACCAAAATAAGAAAGGCCTTTTTTTCTTATTCACAATCCAAGTGAATACGAGACAGTGGGTCCTTAATAAATAACTTCACGAAACAGTCCTCAATGAGCCGCGTACGGCTGCAGAGCCCCAGGTTGCCGACCCCTGCCCATTGTAAACTGGACTTCCACGGTCAGGGGGTCGGCAGTCAACATAAAAAGAAGAAGAGACATTTTTTTTCGAATTTCAAAAGCCGCGCTGCAGTCCTTAAAGTGCCAGCATGTCTCTCCGGAGCCGCAGGTTGCTGACCCTTCGCCTAACCCAGAAGACCCACCTCTCTCTCTGCCCACCCCCCCTCTCTCTCTATTTAAGGCCTCGACACAGATGCATTGGGTCTCTGTGTGTCTCTCTCTGCTTGTGTGTCTGTCTGTGTGTCTCCGTGTCTGTGTTTTGTCTCTCTCTCAAATTTAGTTCTACCTGATGACGGTTGCTTGTGCTGCAATCGAAACGTCGTGTTCTATTTAATGTATTTTCTTTCTACGTGACTTTACTGAAAGAACCGAAGGGTTCTTAACCTTCTACCGCAGCCTTGCAACCCCTTTGGTTCTCAAAAGGCAACCCGCTTCCCCAGAGGAGTGCGAGCACCCCGAGTCAAGCACCACTGGCCTAACCGATTGCCTCTTCCTCTCTCTCGAAATAGACGGGCGCACCGTGCCTACGGTTCGTCATCGCGTCTTGGATTCCGCAACGTGTTGTTTTGGCCGTGCTGTAGTTCCCGGCTCGGGTCTTGAGCAACGGACGTGGTCGTTCTGCCAGGCGGCGTCGCCGCGAGCGCGGAATGCGCGCGAATTTAAAGGCTTAGCGAGCGGCAGCGGCAATGCAAACTCTGCCGGCTTGTTACCCGGCGGCGACCAGGTCGTAGGAGAAGGTGTCGATGGGCTCTTTCCTTCGGCTCGGATCTCGGGGCAACAGATATGCGCAGCTATGTTTGGCCATCTCACCACAGCGGTGGTCGGGGGTTTATCATGTCGGGTGGTCGTCGTCTTCGCATCACGTTGTGACCGAGGATGAAGTCATCTTGACATCTGAATATCGGAGCTGCGCGTGATCGTGACACCAGCGGCTGACGTGGGCGCCCTCCCCTCCAATGTTGACGCTGCGATTTGACATCTTCTCGATCACTCTCTATCGCTCCTTGTACGCGTTAAAAGTCGCTCGATTTTTTTTCTATGTCGCTACGATCCGTTTTTTTCTTCCCATCCCTTTCGCCGGGCAAACTCAAATGTCAATAAATATCGACGACAGCATCGCTCAGCTGGCAACACTGTTTGCGTGCGATCAGCTCTATGTAACAGCATTGACACTGGGCGTATGATCGAGGGGTTCGTCTTAGGGGCCATCCATTTAGTACGTATGTAGTGAAGCCAACTGAGTCGCAGACGTTGTTCTTTAGAGGCAACACTTTTATTCGGAACATCAACACGTAACACAAAGGGGTAACTGCCCCTTCACCAGATACAGCCTAGGGTGGTGGCCACTCAGCTAACTACCCTATACGGAGGAGTTACAGCTACGAAGGGTCTGACCCTCACTCAGGTCCCGGCCACGTGTCGGTGCCTGTAGAGCTTCCAGCTTGTAGGACGTAGAGCTTCAATGCTTGTAAGGCGTAAAGCTTCAATGCTTGTAGGGCGTAAAGCTTCCAGCTGGAGACGTAGAGCTTCCAGCTTGTAGGGTGTGGAGCTTCAGCTTGTAGACGTAGAGCTTCAGCTTGTAGAATGCAGTGACCCCGGTCCCTCTCAGGGACCCGCCTTATATCCCCCTGGGTCGGGGCTGGCCCCGCCCTTGGCCCCGCCCACCTTCTAGAGCATTCCAGCTCCCTCTCGATCCCTCTCGAGAGCTCTCTGTGGACACTCCGGATCACGTTCTAGATTTGAAGCTTTCGTGACTGCAAGGATTCATACTCTTTGTTTTTTTCTTCGGTAAAATCACGTGACTTTACCCAAAAAAAAACAAAGAGTCCGGATCACGTGTCTACGAGGTCAACCAGAGTGCCATGGCCCGGGGCAACCCTGCCCCTGGGCTGACACTCTCCCACTCCCCCTTGTGGGAGCACGCCACTGCACGCTATGCGTGGTGCCCGCGCTAACCCAGCGCACGCCAAGCCCCGCTAGGGCTGGTACTGCACCCGCTTACGGGGTATACGCGATGACGGTGCATCGCGCGCCACGGCTATCTCGGGCCGGCACCATCCAGTGACATCACCGATGTGATGTGTAGTGACATCACCGATGTCACTACACGTACGCAAAAGTCTGTCAAACCTTGACCCCCCCCCTCCCTGTACGCACGCGGACTTTCTACAGCACCCACCTGCGTACGTACGCCTGACGCACCCCGCGCCCGCCCCCCGAATCCTATAGAACAGCCGATATTTAAATTTCGATTTAAAGCTTTCGTGACTGCAAGGATTAATCTTCTTTGGTTCTTTCGGTAAAGTCACGTAGAATGAGAATAAAATAATAAAATAATAAAATAAAATAATACAATAAAATTCTCACGACGTTTCGGCCACAACACAAGGTGCCTTCTTCAGGTGAAAGGAACAGACCTGTCGGGACGACAGACATTGAAGCGACAGGTCTGTTCCTTTCACCTGAAGGCCACTTGTGTTGTGGCCGAAACGTCGTGAGAATTTTATTGTGTTATTTTATTTCATTATTTTATTATTTTATTCTCGTTCTACGTGACTACCGAAAGAACCAAAGAAGCCGATATTTAATCCACGCAGAAACGATCAAGGGTTAATAATATTAACGTGTTCAAGCAAACAGGAAGTCCACCCCCGGACTATCTAACTCATTTGAAGTGCAATGTGGACAAATTATTATCGAGGCTTCACCCCCCCCCCCCCCCCCCCCGTTTCCTATGCGTATATTGTCAGTAGATCCCCCCATACGCAAGCTACGCATTTGGGTTAACCCCCCCTCCATGCGTACGTACTAAATGGATGGCCCCTTACTTTCCGGAGTGGCTTAGAACCTCGTTGGGTCAATCCACTCAGATTCAGAATATTTATTTGGACTGGAGGAATCCGATGAGCTATGAAGCTCTTTTTCACAGATATCCACTGCACGCCGTGCAGGTCGTGGAGGTTATTTGACCATGCTGATCTGTATGGATTGATGAAGGCAGAGAGCATAGACGTGGGAGCATAGGGGCCGTCCATAAATGACGTCATGCACCTGGGGGGGGGGGGGTCAGACATTTGTGACGATGTGTGTCAAGGGGGGTGGGGTTTGAGAAATGTGACGTCACATCAAAATGCGCAACTTTTTAATACATTTTTCTCCTACAACATAAGAGTGCAGCGCCACATTAAATACGCACTACAATGACAATAGTTTAAAGCGATTTGAAGCATGTTTTTTTTGGAGGGGGCAGAGCTTTGTGACGTCATATTTGGGGGGGGGGGTCTGACTTTTTGCGACGCCGTGTGACGAAGGGGTCAAAAATCGTCCAAAATTGCGTAACGTCATTTATGGACGGCCCCATAGTACAGTATAACATTTCCTTACCTCAGCTGGCGCTGAAACACTCATCCTTCACGTCACTTGAAAACTCAGATGCCAACCAATCCTAGATCCGTTTCAAGATCACGCTGCGCGATATTCAAAATCCTCCATGGACTGCTGCTTGCTTACCTCTCCCCTCTCATCTCACTCCACTACCCCTTGCACACACTCTCCTACATCTCCCCTCTCATCTCACTCTACTCCCCTCCACGCACTCCCCTACTTCTCCCCTCTCATCTCACTCTACTCCCCTCCACGCACTCTCCTACCTCTCATCTCACTCTACTCCCTTCTACACACTCTCCTACCTCTCCCCTCTCATCTCACTCTACTCCCCTCCACGCACTCTCCTTACTCTACCCTCTCATCTCACTCCACTCCCCTCCACCCACTCCCTTACCTCTCCCTTCTCATCTCACTCTACTCCCCTCCACGCACTCCCCTACGTCTCCCCTCTCATCTCACTCTACTCCCCTCCACGCACTCTCCTACCTCTCATCTCACTCTACTCCCCTCCACGCACTCTCCTACCTCTCCCCTCTCATCTCACTCTACTTCCCTCCACACATTCACCTACCTCTCCCCTCTCATCTCACTCTACTCCCCTCCACACACTCCCCTACCTCTCAGCTCACTCTACTCCCCTCCACACACTCTCCTACCTCTCCCCTCTCATCTTACTCCACTCCCCTCCACCCACTCTCCTACCTCTCATCTCACTCCACTCCCCTCCACGCTCGCTCCTACCTCTCCCCTCTCATCTCACTCTACTCCCCTCCACACACTCTCCTACCTCTCCCCTCTCATCTCACTCTACTCCCCTCCACGCACTCTCCTTACTCTACCCTCTCATCTCACTCCACTCCCCTCCACCCACTCTCCTACCTCTCATCTCACTCCACTCCCCTCCACGCTCGCTCCTACCTCTCCCCTCTCATCTCACTCCACTACCCCTTGCACACACTCTCCCACAGTCTACAGGGTAGGAAGGAGGAGGCCACCCTATTCGCACACGTGGAGCCACGTGGCTCAACGTGGCTCCACGTGGCTCCACGTGGCTCAACGTGGCTTTCGGCTGCGGATCAAATTCACATCTCCCGCGCGAACGAAGCCCCTCCCCGCCCACCCCGCCCACGAGCGCGGCTTCCCCCATTGGCCGCCGCGCCCGTGACCGTCGCGCGTGACACGCCCTTCGAGCACTCCTCACTCAACATGGCGGCGATGAGGCTGGTGAAGGTAAGTGACAGGGCCGTGGTTGACCTCTGCGTTGCGTCCTTAAGCCGCGGCGGTGAACTCCGACGTAAGAGTCAGGCGCTACCTCGGCAATGCGATGCGCATTGAGGCACGAGCTTCTTCGGTAAATGTCCAGGTCGGAAACGGGAGGGATAAGCGGGTGGCGGGGGATGGCGGCCACTCGCCGTAGCGGTAGTTGGCGCGGGGAAACCCGGCATCGCGATCAGGCAAGAGCGTAGGCTTCGACACCGGCCAGGCCGCGGCTAATCGGCCTCTGCGGTCTGCCCGCTCCGTCTCCTGTGATCAAGTAATGATTGCCTCGCTGCTTCAAGATATATTATTTCCAGCGTACCTCTTCGCTGGTTGCCTCTGGATAGCAGCGTAAATTCCACATTACGGTGACGTGACCAGTACATCCATCCATATAGGCCACTTGCGAATGACGTGACAGCACTGTGCCGTGACATCCCCTCACCGCTTACGAGTTCTCAACTGGTAACGCGAAATAAACTTTAATAACAAGACCACCGCTGGTCCAACACCACCACGTAGGACGAGGCTCTAAGGAAAGCTGTCTCGGGTGTGGACCAATCTATTTCGAGGACAGTGCCACATACATTATCAGAGTTATGTGTTTTTTTTGTTTGCATTGTGGTCAATGCAAACATGACTCCTTGTTTAAAAAAAGGTGTCAGTTTTGTTGCCAGATAAAAGGGTAAAACGCCAATTATCAAGACCACCTCTGTTATTGCTTACGAAGTGGTACGAGCTTTTATCGACCTCGCGTGATGATGGTGATAATGGCCTTGGGTTTTAAACTAAACTCCGCTGGCTGTCTAGGAATAGTGGTGAATGTTCCATGCTATTATGGTGAGGACAGGTCAGTTATGACAGTCGCTGTCACTTTAAACTTAAACAAAAATTGTTTTACCGGGTAAGGATCACTGAGCTTTGTAGGTCTTATTCAGAAGCGACCTGGCTATCACAAATGATAGCTCAACACTGTGGCTTTTCAGGTGGAAATATTAGCAGCCAAATACACTAAACGCGTGTTTCTTCAATTGAAAACGTATAGGGGGAAAAACACCGGAGGACCCGAAGAAAAATCCACGCCACCACAAGGAGAGAGAGACACGCAAACTCCAAATATACAGCAGCAGCAGGCGTCAGGGGTCGGGATTGAACCCACGCCCTCCTGTGTACCAGGCGAGGTAGTTAACATCTCCTAGCCACCGTGATGATGATGAGAGAGAGACACGCAAACTCCAAATATACAGCAGCAGGCGTCAGGGTCGGGATCGAACCCACGACCTCTTGTATACCAGGCGAGGTAGTTAACATCTCCTAGCCACCGTGATGATAATGAAAGAGACACGCAAACTCCAAATATACAGCAGCAGGCGTCAGGGTTGGGATTGAACCCACGACTTCCTGTATACCAGGCGAGGTAGTTAACATCTAGCCACCGTGGTGATGATGATGAGAGAGAGAGAGAGACACGCAAACTCCAAATATACAGCAGCAGGCGTCAGGGTCGGGATCGAACCCACGACTTCCTGTATACCAGGCGAGGTAGTTAACATCTCCTAGCCACCGCGGCACTCAACACGGTAGTAAAGTATGGTCAACAAACCATGTGACTAAAGTTTGATTTGTTTAACCATGAGAAAACGAAAGAAGCCAAGACTAGTCTCAATTTGCAGGAGTGCCCTGGGGTTACCAAGGAAGCCTTCATCCAGCAGTGGATTGACAAAGGGCTGTAAATCAGAGGTTCATTATCTATTTTTTGGAGACGGAGTTACGTAATGTACAGTTATGCAACTGCAGCGCTGTACTGTATGTGCGTGTGTGGTGTGAACCACTGTCCATTTATGTAACCTGCCAGCAAGTTTCGTGGTGTTGAATAATACGTGAAAGCAACTGTTTAATTTTTCTCGTGTGCCATTCCAAATCGGTCACACTCTACGAGTTATACGGGCTTCGCTGTGGGCAGCAGAGGGCAGCACAGCAACGTCCATTGTCAAAGGCAGGGGTCACCAAACTTTCTTCACAGTGGACCGGATAACTGAAAGAATGACGAGCGCGGGCCGCATAATAACAGCTGGAAAATCTGGGGGCGGGAAAGATGCGTGTGTTGTGTGTGTTGCCATGGAAACCGTGGTAACGTGTTGCCATGACGTTGCCATGGAAACCATGGTAACGTCAGAGCGTAAGGCGGAGCTACCACGAGCCGGGGAAGTACTTGGGATGGCGCGAAATAAGCAAACATTACAATAAACAAGAAAATCTATCTTCTTTGGTTCTTTCGGTAAAGTCACGTAGAATGAGAATAAAATAATAAATTGATAAAATAAAATAACACAATAATATTCTCACGACGTTTCGGCCACAACACAAGCGGCCTTCATCAGGTGAAGGGACGAGACTGTCTGGTAGGACATCAGGTGAAGGGACGCGCTGTCCTACCAGACAGTCTCGTCCCTTCACCTGATGAAGGCCGCTTGTGTTGTGGCCGAAACGTCGTGAGAATATTATTGTGTTATTTTATTTTATCAATTTATTATTTTATTCTCATTCTACGTGACTTTACCGAAAGAACCAAAGAAGATGAATCATTGCAGTCACGAAAGCTTTAAATCGAAAAAGAAAATCTAGATACAATAATTTAAAATAGTAAATTTAAGGAACATAGCAGTCAGGAGGTCTCCGCACGCGTGAAGATCTCCTAGTATTCTAAACATAATATTTAAATTGTATCACAACGTCTCGAGTTCCATACGTTTTATCAACCAAATTCAAGTACCGTCGGCGGGCCTGATGGACTGACGTCGCGGGCCGGATACGGCCCGCGGGCCGTAGTTTGGTGACCCCTGGTCAAAGGTGAAGGCGTAACCCAGCAATGTCAGAATCAGAATATTTATACCGGAGGAATCCGATGAGCTATGAAGCTCTTTTCCACAGATGTCCAGTAGTATTGTCCACGCCACTGCTGGCGAGAGGGTCTCCTCTTTAGGGAGCTCTAGAGAACCACCTCAAGAGGGTATTTTGCCTACTCTTCTACACTGCACCAGGCATGTCGTGAAAGGCGTCATGATCCACACTTTTAGCCCACCGCCACAAGCCACTCGGCCGAGGGAAAAATGCCATCGGCTCGATCGCCCGGCGTGGCAGTTGAAACATTGGCACAAGTCTCCTACACTCCCCTTCTTCTGTTCACTCATCAATATAAATGGGTGCGCAACATTTAAGTCGATGGGCATGTTGCATGTGTCGGGGTAAAAGTGTGGGTATGCCCACCACTTCCAAAGACGTCTCGGCAACTTGGAAGAGAAGGCAGATAATGCCTCCTAAAGCCTCCCCGTCTGGTGCACGCCCTTCCGAGAGCAGTGACGTAAACATGTAAGTACAGGGCTACATAGCTATACATACCTACCTTTACTTGCCGGTCAAGGTTCGTCCACCCGCACTACAGTGAGGGAAAAAAGTATTTGATCCCCTGCTGATTTTGTACGTTTGCCCACTCACAAATAAATTATCAGTCTATAATTTTAATGGTAGGCTTATTTGAACAGTGAGAGACAGAATAACAACAACAAAAATCCAGAAAAACGCATGTCAAAAATGTTATAAATTGATTTGCATTTTAATGAGGGAAATAAGTATTTGAACCCTCTGCAAAACATGACTTAGTACTTGGTGGCAAAACCCTTGTTGCCAATCACAGAGGTCAGACGTTTCTTGTAGTTGGCCACCAGGTTTGCACACATCTCAGGAGGGATTTTGTCCCACTTCTCTTTGCAGATCTTCTCCAAGTCATTAAGGTTTCGAGGCTGACGTTTGGCAACTCGAACCTTCAGCTCCCTCCACAGATTTTCTATGGGATTAAGGTCTGGAGACTGGCTAGGCCACTCCAGGACCTTAATGTGCTTCTTCTTGAGCCACTCCTTTGTTGCCTTGGCCGTGTGTTTTGGGTCATTGCCATGCTGGAATACCCATCCACGACCCATTTTCAATGCCCTGGCTGAGGGAAGGAGGTTCTCACCCAAGATTTGACGGTACATGGCCCCGTCCATCGTCCCTTTGATGCGGTGAAGTTGTCCTATCCCCTTAGCAGAAAAAACACCCCCAAAGCATAATGTTTCCACCTCCATGTTTGACGGTGGGGATGGTGTTCTTGGGGTCATAGGCAGCATTCCTCCTCCTCCAAACACGACGAGTTGAGTTGATGCCAAAGATCTCCATTTTGGTCTCATCTGACCACAACACTTTCACCCAGTTGTCCTCTGAATCATTCAGATGTTCATTGGCAAACTTCAGACGGGCATGTATATGTGCTTTCTTGCGGGCACTGCAGGATTTCAGTCCTTCACGGCATAGTGTGTTACTTATTGTTTTCTTGGTGACTATGGTCCCAGCTGCCTTGAGATCATTGACAAGATCTTCCTGTGTAGTTCTGGGCTGATTCCTCACTGTTCTCATGATCATTGCAACTCCACGAGGTGAGATCTTGCATGGAGCCCCAGGCCTAGGGTGATTGACAGTTCTTTTGTGTTTCTTCCATTTGCGAATAATCCCACCAACTGTTGTCACTTTCTCACCAAGCTGCTTGGCAATGGTCTTGTAGCCCATTCCAGCCTTGTGTAGGTCTACAATCTTGTCCCTGACATCCTTGGAGAACTTTTTGGTCTTGGCCATGGTGGAGAGTTTGGAATCTGATTGATTGATTGCTTCTGTGGACAGGTGCCTTTTATACAGGTAACAAGCTGAGATTAGGAGCACTCCCTTTAAGAGTGTGCTCCTAATCTCAGCTCGTTACCTGTATAAAAGACACCTGGGAGCCAGAAATCTTTCTGATTGAGAGGGGGTCAAATACTTATTTCCCTCATTAAAATGCAAATCAATTTAGAACATTTTTGACATGCGTTTTTCTGGATTTTTTTGTTGTTATTCTGTCTCTCACTGTTCAAATAAACCTACCATTAAAATTATAGACTGATAATTTCTTTGTCAGTGGGCAAACGTACAAAATCAGCAGGGGATCAAATACTTTTTTCCCTCACTGTATACTTGGAGAGGAGATGCTGTAATACAACCAAAACAACACACGGCTATACGCACCGCTCATGCCTCTGTACGCGCGGACACACAGTGGCATCATCTTTTCACCCCCCCCCCCCCCGCGTGGTTGCGCGTAGGATGGGCTGGTGGCGCTGGTGACGGGGGGAGCGTCAGGGCTGGGCCGCGCCACGGCGGAGCGCGTGGTCCGCCAGGGCGGCCGCGCCATCCTCGTGGACCTGCCCTCGTCAGACGGCGCCGCAGTGGCGCGCGAGCTGGGGGACGCCTGCGCCTGGGCGCCGGCCGACGTGGGTACCGCACCGCCGGCAAACTTTGTAGCGCCGGCGTCGCCAAACCGCCATGGACATCGCGGCGACCGATTCTGACACAGTCACCAGCGCCGCCACCGGCAGCACCACCGCCAGCACCGCCACCGGCACTGCCAAGGCCACCCGGTCTCACCAACAACACCGCTGCCACCACCAGCAATACCGAGGCCACTCCTGGTGTTGCCAGAGCTATCGATGCCACCGCCGCTGACACCACCGGCACTACCGAGAACCAACGACACCACTCGCGTCATCGCTCGCCACAAACACCACCACCAACAACAACAACACGAACGATACAGAGATTAATTTCACTATATTCAATCAGCCGTTGCGAGAACAATGTTAGTGGGGCATTAAAATGACCACCACTGCCATCACTATTGCCACCACTACCAGCACTGTCTCCAAACAGGGCCGTTGTGAACCTGCTCGTTGTGTGTGTGCATGTTGGGTGGGGATCTGTCGTGTAGCGGTTAGCGCGCTGTGCTACGAAGCCAGCGACTTGAGTTCGATTCCCGCTCACGGCCACCGACACCACTGACGATTATCTGAACTGGTTCTGGGTCTCCCCTAGGTCGATTCAACCTCAAATGAGTACCTGATGTGGTGGTGTGTAAAAATCGCCACCGGGGAGACAAAGGCGACCGGAGCGTGGTGCTGACCACCCACGCCCTCGTGCGCCGTACCGGCCTTCTTGCTCGCTAACAGCACTTGCCCCAACAGTCTGTTCATGCTATACCGAGGATCTTTGTCTTTGTTGGGTGGGAGCAGGTGACGAGTGAGGAGGAGGTGGGGGCGGCGGTGGCCTTGGCGCGGGAGAAGTTTGGTCGTCTGGACGCGGCCGTGAACTGCGCGGGTATCGCCATCGCCCTCAAGACGTACAACTTCAAGCGCAACACCGCGCACGGGCTCGCTGACTTCCAGAGAGTGCTGCATGTGGGTCACCATCACCAGCACCGCCAGCACCGCCAACACCACAGGCACCGCCATCACCACCGGCACCGCCATCACCACCGGCACCGCCATCACCACCAGCACCATCATCGGTGGAACCAGCACCGTCAACACCTCCACCAACAATTTCACTACCTTCATCACTGGCAACACCAATGCTACCACCGGCAGCATGATCTCCAACGATGTTTGGCGATGTTGCTGTTGATGGTTACGATGTACGCGGGTGACCGTGGTGGTGATGTTGACGGTGACGATGGTTGCAGTGCACAAGGGTAAACTTGGAGGTTTAGACGGTGACGACGTTGATGACGGCTGTTGTGGCGTGCGCAAGGGTGAACGTGGTGGTGATGCTGATGGTGACGATGATGACGTTGATGACGGCGGTTGTGGCGTGCGCAGGTGAACGTGGTGGGCTCGTTCAACGTGATCCGTCTGGCCGCTGGCGAGATCGGGCGTAACGAACCGGACTGCTCGGGACAGCGCGGGGTCATCATCAACACGGCCAGCGTGGCCGCGTACGACGGGCAGGTGTGACCCACGGGGGTTATGTACACAACAATCTCCGTTCACCGCTAGGGGGCGGTTATGTCACCACAGCACTTGTGCCATGCTTGCTGGAAAGACAAAGATCCCCCGTTTAGCCTCAACAGACTTTTGGGGCAAGAGCTGTTCACGAGCACCTGTGAAGGCCGGCACGGCACACGAGGGGGTGGGTGGACAGCCCCACACCCAGTCACCTTTGTTTCCCGAGTGGTGATGTTTACACATCGGACCAGGTGCTTATTTGAGGCTGAGTCGACCTTGGGGAGGCCCAGGACCGGTTGGGATAATCGTCACTGGTGTTGGCGGTGAGCGGGAATCGAACTCGGGTCGCCAGGCTCGTCGCGCAGCGCACTAACCACGACGCTACCGCTCCCCATAGGTGCACACACACACACACATACTCGCCTTCAATCGCACGCTTTCACACAAACAAGACAATGATCTCCCGTGTAGCCTTTAACAGAGTGTTGGTGCAAGCGCTATTAGCGAGTAGCAACTGTGACTGTCAACACGGCACATGAGGAGGGTGGTGTGGCTAGCACCATGCCTGGCCACCTTGGCTTCCCCAGTGCTGATGTTTACGCGGTGCACCGTAAACCACTGTTACGAATAAAAACATACACACGTGCACATATATACACATGTGTTTTGTGTATATTCATGTTTATTCATACGTGTGCAAACGGTGCATATTTTATGCATATATATGCGTATGCTTGTGTGTGTGGAGAGCGCTGGTGTCATGGTTACTGCACTGCGCTACAGAACCCAGCGACCAGTTTGATTCCCACTTACGACCAACACCATTAGCGAAGAATATCTGAACTGGCCTTGGGGCTCCCGGAGGTCAACTGCCTTAAAGAAAGTACCTTGTGCAGTGTGTATAAAACATCAACACTGGGGAGACAAAGGCAGCCGGGCTTGCTGGTGGCCCCCCACCCCCTCGTGTGCTGATCCGGCCTTTGTAGGTGCCCGCGAATAGCACTTGCCCTAAGTCTTTTAAAGGCTATAGGGGAATCTGTTGTCAGTTCCTCTGAATGTGTATCTATCTGCCAGTCATCTCAGTCAACCCATGGCACCTGGGTCTGTCCTGTGACCTGCCAGCGGGCGTTCAACACTTCACGTGACCTTAAAAGTGCACGCAGCCTGGCATGAGCGCCGTGGTGACGTCACCGCCACTTGGTCGCGAATGGCGTTTTTTGTTTGCCGTGTATACGTCTGTCTCTGTGTGCTTCTGTGCGTTTCTTTGTGTCTTGTCGATGTTGTACGATGCACAGGTTGGCCAGGTCGCCTACTCGGCCTCCAAGGGCGCCATCGTGGGCATGACGCTGCCGATAGCGCGCGACCTGGCGTCCCAGGGCATCCGCGTGATGACCATCGCTCCCGGTGAGGCCTCCCAGAGTGTGCGCGATCGCATCTAAACACACCCCGTCTCAGAGTTCCAACGTCCACTCCTGGTCGTCTCCGATCCCTACGTCATCATCATCATCATCGGCAGCCGTGGTTGAGGCGACAATTATGTCGCGCAAAAAAAACTGTAATTCGTGGAAACATCACGGGATTAGGTGGGTTACCCCCCCCCCCCCCCCCCCCCCCCCCCCCCCCCCCCCCCCCGCCAAGAAATTCAACGCATGACTTACAATAAGTCATGCGCTGAATTTCAGGAAGTGCCCAATCTGGCGTGTCGCCAGAGCCACTTCCAAGATACCACTTTGAGTCTTGAATTCAGATTCACGATTTCCATGACCACCATGGTCAATCCAATTCTTGGATGAAGGCCTCCTTCCCAAGCCGTCGCCATCCCTCAACAGTCCTTTCATGCAAGAATCCACCCAGCACGTGCACTTGAACTGAGCTCACTGCTCCATCTCCCCTGCTACACTTCCTTTTCTGACTGCCGCTCTGTTGTTATGCTCAAACCACCAGGCCGTCATCCCTTGCAGTCAGAGTCAGAATCTTTATTTATCCTGGAGAAATCTGATGAGTTATGAAGCCCCCTTTTTCACACATGTCCAGTTTTTCAGTGTGGTGGTTAACGAGCCACGCTACGAACCTGGCGACCCGGGTTCGATTCCTGCTCACGGCCAACACTGGTGATGAATATCTGAGCCAGTCCTGGGCCTCCCCTAGGTCGACTCAGCCTCAAATAAGTAACTGGTGTGATGTGTAAACAATGCCACCCACCCTCTCGTGTGCCATGCTGGCCTTCATAGGTGCTCGCTAACAGCACTTGCCAAATCCTATCAAGGCTATATGGGGGATCTTTGTTTTTTGTTTGTATGTATGTCTGTTAATGTGTCTAAATAAGGCCCCTTCCTACCTCACTGACCTGCTCCACCGCCACAACCCATCCCGTAGCCTTCGCTCATCTGATGCCAACCTCCTGACTCCACCTCTCAGGACCAAGCATCGAACTTGGGGCGACAGAGCCTTCTCTATAGCTGCCCCCTCACTTTGGAACTCTCTCCCAAAACAAATCTGGCTGCACCGCCCTTCCAGCGTTCAAATCATTGACTAAAACTCACCTTTTTTAAAATAGCTTTTAATGTTTAGCTAAGTTTGATGTGTTTTTACCATTTGATGTTGTTTTTTGCTGCTTTTATGATTTTATGTAAAGTGTCTGAGTATTCAGAAAAGCGCTCACAAATAAAATGTGTTATTACATCCGTGTCTGTCCATCCTCCCAGGCTTGTTTGCGACGCCGCTACTCATGACGCTGCCCGAGAAGGTGCGCGACTTCCTGGCGCGCCAGGTGCCTTTCCCCAGCCGCCTGGGTGACCCCTCCGAGTACGCGCAGTTGGTACAGTCCATCTTGGAGAATCCCATGCTCAATGGGGAGGTCATACGGCTGGACGGTGCCATCCGCATGCAGCCTTGATTCGCGAGGGAAGTGGTGAGGTGCAGGTGAAATCAAAGTGGACTTTCCCAACAACCCTGCACCACTCCTCCATGCCACCCCTTTCGTCCTCGCAAAGTGGTACGGTCCATCGCAGAGTTGCGAGCAATGGGACCGTGTGGCCAATCGCATGCGAGCTTTGCAGTCACATGGGGCTAACGGGGCTAATTCGACGCGATCAATGCGAGAAAGCGGCAAAGCTTCCGTTACGTCGCGTTCGATTGGTTCGACGGGCACCATGCGATCGCTTCGCTGGCGTGCGTTTGGCCACCTGCCGCGCTGTGTGCTGCGGAGATATTTTCATGGTTGCAGTGTCGTAGAAAGTTTGGAACGATTTGGCGGCATTGGCGGAGGGGGGAGAAAAATATAGTTAACTCTGTGGACATATTTTCTGGGTTACAGATGAAACCGTACTTACAAAACAATAACGATGAAATATCTCGAACGACGCATTTAATTCATGAAATATGCGCGCGCATCGCACAATTAAATAATCATTACGAGCTTTTCACTCGTCGAGGGGTCAGCAACTCTGTGGCTCTTGGTGACCCCCGAAACACGTCGGCAAGTAAACCAATCAACAATAAAGACGTGACAGTAATTGTTTTCATAGCGTTATTTACATAATTGCATTGTTTTATCCGGATCATTCATCTTGTCCCCCACCTCAGCCATACCCCGGGATGATTGAGAGTTGACTCTCCCTACCTACCTGTAATTTCAGCCACATTTGTACCAGACAACAACCTCGTACGTCCAACATTTCTCTTGCTTTTGTGTGTAATTTCACGATTCATGTGCAACTGTGAACTGCTTAGGGATTGCTCGTAATTGTCACGGGTTACTTTTGTTTCGCGAAATCGCCTTTACGCACCCTCGCAAAGGCTTCATTAAATCGTCGATTCTCGCTTGTAGAGTTACAAATATTCTAGTGATTCGGGGTGTCACTGAAAACAAAATATGAATTTAAATTTTGGAGTTCATATCCCATCTGTCAGAAACTCCATTATCAGTCTAGAGTTTGCGGTCAGTACAATGCGATGTGGGTTGAAATAGCGTCTAAATACGACCACATCTCAAGATGCTGTATCGAATGTGTGGGCATGTTTATTTTGTAGGGAAAAAGATGCAGTTGGTTATAGGCAGAGAAAGGGAATCGGGTCTTCAGTTTCAACTTGAACAGAGCAGGGAGAGTCTTAGTGTGAATTCTGCGAGTCTGGAGTATTTGTGCGAGTCCGTGCGTCTCAGTGAATTGCATAAATCTATGAGTCTGTGTGAATCTATGGGTATCAATTCTTTGGGGCCTATTTTTGTGTGAATCTACGTGTCTCTGTGAATTGTCGTATGAGTCTACGGGTCTCCGAGTCTATGGGGGTCTACGCGAGTTGCTCAGTAACCGCACCTCAACAACAAGAACGGTCATCCTTGCACCAATTGTTGCCTCCTGGCGGTTTGGTTCTGAGTGGTGCCTCCCATATGACTGGCCACCATCGATGATCCAAATTCAGTTGGTCGCTGAGTTCCCATTTAATTTCCATCCACAAAGTGCGCTTCTCAGCACCAATCGCCGAGTATATATAAAGAAAAACTTATCAGTTGCCTTTCGGAGTGCATTCCACGGTGCGTTGCTTAAACACAACAAATGAACGCTTATCTTGGAGATGAGACGTTCCTAGGCTAAGCCCAATTTGGGGGAGAGGTCACGACCCCGAGGTTGGGGGAGATATCGTCCCTGTGTCAGTCAGTCCGTCCAACGATTTTGACTTTGCCTTTTCCCCGTGAGCGTCGCTACATCCATTGGCCGTGTTTCACTTCGCGCCAAGTGTTCCGCGTTCACGAATGATTTGTAAAGAATTCTTACGAATTAATAAAGTGATAAAATACTTGACATGAAATATTCGCAAAGTTGTCTTTTCCTGGGTGGCTATTTGTGGATTAGTAATTTACTCAAGATTTCGTCTGTGTTTGACTTTGATAGGGATGCCGATGATAGTGGTTCTAAAAATGACGATAAATCAATGGCACGAAGTGACGGTAACGTCACCACTGCTGCGCTCGTGCGAGGCACGGTGCACTTTTTTTTTAACATGACCTTGTGTTTTTCTTCGAGAGAAAATAAAACTTCTGATGCTCTTCTCAGATGTACTGCTCAGTTTTCAACGGTTACCAGTATCAAATTTTGTTTATTATTAATATTGTTGAATATTAGTATTTTTAATATATTGTTTAATGTTACAGGCAAATGTTTATTTTAAGACTGCTCTTGAGCGTGTGAGAATGTGTACACTGTGCAGCGCGAAGGCCCTCGTTAGATTTCCATCCATCCCACGCTCGACTTGCTGCCAGTTTCACTGTTGCACTTTCAGGCCGAGCGAAGTGTTGAAAGGCTCCGCTGCCAGCAGGTGATGGGACAGAGCCGGACTTTATGGGTTAAATGACCAAGAATGATTGGCAAATGCTCCCCAGTGCTGGAAAAATGAAGGCTTCCCCACCCCCCAATCCACCACCATGCCTTTTGATGTCACGATGCCTCGCTCCTGCACACCAGATGCTCTTTACCGCTCCATCTCCTCTCACAATAAGGGTACAGCGATTCCCATGTTTAACGCGGCAGATGCGTTCCTGGAAAGTGCCGCGTTTAGCGAGGAATTGCCGAGTCGCTGAATCACGTTTGCGCTGTTAATTCAGCCTGCAGTGTGTCCCATGTCGGGACAATAAACTGAGAGTAGGGTACGCCACCACTTTACCCTCGTCATTCCGCGTACTGTATCGTACCGCTTAGCCACGCAACTCAAGTAGTTCGTCATCGACCGCTCAGAAAGCGCATTATAACGGGAGCGTCCCCGCGTTATAACGGACGCATTCTGCGCTGTGCGAAGTGTTCCCTTATGGAAGAACCAACCTCGTCACAGCGAAAACGTGTTAAGAGTGTGAACACGTGATAAGCGAGGACTTACCGTACACAAATAACCAAACGCAAATATTTTTGGGGACGCGGGCAAACACTGACCCCGTGAATCCTCGTTTCTGGCCGTTGTGTTTATTTAAATATCACACTTCGCATTTTGATTGTCCCTGAAAAATCGAGTACGACATTAAAACGGTCAGTCACAACCCAAAGAGTTGACGTTCAGCAGACGTTGGTCCTTGCCAAATATACAAATGTCAGTAATAAAATAATGGTACCTGAAGCTCTGTATCAAACTTTGTAACTGTTATAAAAAAACTTGTTCTGTATCCTCTAACACGATGCCACATCATCATCAGCAGCAGCCTGAGCTATCCACTGCTGGATAACATCCTTCCCAGCACTGCATTGGTCATGGGGCTTGCTTGACCATGCTTCACCACGCTGGTCAGTGCGGGTGATTGAAGGGCGAGGAGCCCGGGATCTTACCACTGATATCAGTCGCAGCCAGGAATGGAACTCGGGGCTGCTGCTTTCCTAGTGCAGTGCAGTGCAATAACCACTGTGCTATGCCGTATGCCGATATGAATACAGCCACAGAGCCCTATAGTCACAGTGTCAACGCGTCCTTCCAATAGGCCCAATGAAAAGTATCCGTAAATTGGGTTTACATTTAGAGATGCGCACGGTGCAGTTTACAAACGCAGAACAGCAACAACAAAAACCTTGACATTTTCATATTAATAACCAGAAGACAAGAAAATATTCCGGATATAAATTATCCCCAAGTATCGTTTTTATCAGCGCTTGATAATTAACATGAAGCAGAAACAAAATTTAAATCCTTACATGTCCATATTTTTGTTATGGACCCAGATACCCTGACAGCATTCCACCAGTAGTGGATGCGAAACATGTTTTTATTAACAGACAGCGGCCCTTCCACAGGGCGTTAATGGAATGTGCGGTGGTGGTGGTGATGATGGTGGTGGTCAGGGGCGGAGCCACAGGGGGGGCTGGGGGGGGCTCAGCCCCCCCTGAAATTTTGGGAAAGTCGGTAATCGGGATAACCGGATATCCGGCTGCTGCAAAATGCTGCAGGCTGCCACCTTGTGTGCTGCCCTGCAGGCTGCCACCTTGTGCTGCTGCCCTGCAGGCTGCCACCTTGTGCTGCTGCCCTGCAGGCTGCCACCTTGTGCTGCCCTGTAGGCTGCCACCTTGTGCTGCCCTGCAGGCTGCCACCTTGTGCTGCCCTGCAGGCTGCCACCTTGTGCTGCCCTGCAGGCTGCCACCTTGTGCTGCCCTGCAGGCTGCTTGAGCGGCAGCCTTTCGAACTTATCGAACTTATTAGCCACATCAGTGGCTCCGACCTATTAATAAACTCCGCACGTCCGCCACGGCCTTCTTATCCATTTGTGGCGCCCATTGGAAAACATACACTGGATATCTCATAATATTGAAGTCAGCCCCCCCAAAGTCAAAATCCTGGCTCCGCCCCTGGTGGTGGTGATGGTGGTGGTGCGTGGTGGTGGGTGGAATCTATAGGGTCGCCACTTGTCCTGGTTTTTCTCAGGATCGTTATCTTGTGCAGGAGGTAGCTGTTTGTCCTGGGAAATCTGTCAATCTTCCGAGGACATGGAAAGTTGCTGTGGTTTTTAGTGAGTTTTTAGTCATAATGAAATTAAGAATAAACCCCTCAAGGCAATGCATTCACATGCAGTTCTCTCGCTATTTTGGTAATGACATTCGCGTTCACTTCACGTGATAGACTCGACGTGTACCTAGCCCGGCACAATCACCGCGGTGACATTACTAACACTTAGTGGCAAATGTCGGCTGTTGTTGATGGCGAGTGGTTATGACGGTGATGGTGGTGGTGAGGAGGGTTACGTCCCATGTGGATGATGATGGGAGGAATGCCCCCACCACCCGGGCCAATATGATCCGATTGTTTGATTCAGGTCGCGATTCGTTCAATGTGTTGACTTTTCTTTTAAACAGTGGAGTTGTAGCGCCTCTAAGTATCTGCATTAAGAGGCACTACTTTACTCGCATGCACGCGGTTCGATGCGTGTGTCTTCAGTTTAAGCATAACAATTAAGTGAATTACGATGCCCCTGGTGTGGTGATATAATTCCATGGCGATTTTAATTTTGTAGAAACCACGCTAACAATGGCAATGAAGGTGACGATGCTGTGGACCATGCCGATAATGATGATGGTGATAACGATCCTCCTGATAATGGTGACGACGACGATGCCAGTGATGTGGCTGCCATCATCGTGCTGGGCGATGATGTTGATGATGATTCTGCTCATTATGATGGCGAATCAGCTGATTCTGCCACTGACGATTGATGACATTGATTCCTTCATCACGACCGTCCACTCGGCGTGGGCCAACAATGACATTTCTGCCCGTGATGCCGATGTTGAGGATGCTGCTGCTGAGACGATGGCACCGATGTCAGTGGTGACATCATGCCCACCCATCAGCCTCCGTTTTCTCTCCCCCTGCTAGGTGTGCCAACGATGTTGATAATAATGATGATACTAACAATGACTTCCAAAAATAAAGATGCCGATGATGATAATGACGATGATGATGATATAGACAATGACAAAGTCAGCGACATCACACCTTCGCCATTAATATTGTCAACTGGGCAGGCCAACGGTGAAGATGACAATAATGGAGCTATGATGACATAGACACAAACGAACCACAATGTAATGACATTATTATCATCCTCTCTTCACTTCTTCAGCTACCCAACTACGATGAAACAGTCACAATGCCAATAATAAAACTGCTGATGGCAAATAATTCTGACGATTACAACACCAATGTAACATAGGCCGGGGTTCACACCCGGAGCGATCAGCTCCGCGAACCAGATCAGCAACTGCTCGAAACATCGCAACTTTAATTGCCCGCGACTGCCTTGTCCACTTCTGAGCAAGCAAGTAGTTGCTCAGAAGTGCACAAAGCATGTATGTGGGTGTGGCTACATAGTATGGCCACGCCCCTCACAGCAGAGCCCTGCCCCTTGTCTGGTGACCCCCCCCTCCCACCCGACCCTGGTCAGGATCGTTCAAATTATGAATTGGTAACGCTCTGCCCAGTTGCCTTAGATTCCGAGGAGCGGGAAATTGGAGCAGGAAGGCTCCCACGAGTGAGTGATTGTGCATGGTGCACGTTCACGAGGGGATCACAACCCGGAAAAATGCGCAGCGCGTGGTGCTGCGGGCAGATCGACGCTCGACAGTCGAGGAGGCCATCTCCACTGTGAGAAAGCTCGCAACTGGCAAAGGGGACGCCCACAAACAAGCAATTCCGTTGCACGCAGCCAAGTTGCGTGCAACCGATTGCGCAGGCGCCGAGGACGCGGCTTAACACCGACCTTCCGCTGCTTCCTCTGCCAGGCGTGCCGACGACAATGACGGTGATGACGATGATAACGGTCGTGAAGTATTATGACATTACCAATGTCAAATATTAAGGTGCTCTCCGCGCTCATAATCCTAGCCCTGACGACGACTTAACTAACACCGCCCCCCCCCCGCCCCCCCCTGATCACTTCTTCTGCTGACCGTGCCGCCCTGGGCGGTTGACGGTCGATGGCAGCGGTGGCCGGAACGTGGTGAGGCCCGGGGACACGGCGGGGCTGTGGCCGGCGCCTTCGGCCGGCGTGGGGGACAGGGGGAGGGTGTCCTGCACCACGTCCGGCACGGCGAGCGCCGACGGGAGGACCTGCGCGGAGCGCGGCGTCACCCAGCGCTGGCGGTGGACAGCGACGTTGGAGGCGGAGGAGCCAGCGTGCGGACGTAAATCCCGCTTGTCCTAACGGGAGAGGAGGAGGGGCAAATTGACAATGGGTTTCACGAGAGTGGTGGCTATTAATAATTTTGGGAGGGTGCCCCCCCCCCCCCGCACTGCCCTCCCCCACCCTGCCCCCCCACCCCGGACCCCGGACCCCGCCCCGGCCCGCTCCGCCCCTCCCCCCAATTAAAATTACTAAAAAAATAACTTTTTTTATTTTACCAGGTAGGGCTCACTGAGCAATATAGATCCGTTCAAGAAGCGACCAGGCCACAACTTATAGCTCAACGAAGTGGCTTATCACGTGGAAAAGTACTCTAAAACACGTGTTGTTGATTCTAAATGTGGAGGGACTCAGTAGAAAAATCGCACGCGACCACGGGGAGACAGAGACATGCAAACTCCATTAAAACAAGCATCACGGTTGGGATCAAACGACCTCCTGCATACCAAGCGGCACCCAATTAAGACCCCTCGTCTGTGACCACCCCCCCCAGATTCAGAAACTGAATTTTATGTCGTGCGATCGAATCCAGATAAGACACGGATTCGATTCCAGGATTTCAGCATCCTGGTAACATGGAGATGAGTACACCCACAGAGATACATAAACACACACCACATTCAGATTCGCGCCAGTCATTCTTTCCCGTAATTTTCAATAATCCGAATCTCTGACCACGACTCCACTCACCTTGGCATCAGGGTGGGCCACTGCCGGCTGCCCCGAAGCGACGGAACGGACTCCGCCCGCTGACTTGGACTCCGGCTGGACCTCAGCATTACCGAATCCGGACTTGCCCTTCCTAGTCTCCGGACTGCTTTTATTCCAGTCCGGGGAGGAAGAGGCGCTGTGTTTGTTATCGTCCCTGTAAAGTAAAAAAAAAAAGACATTATTTTCACTGTCATCACAATTAGCAGGCAATCGGTATGTTGTTCCGTGGGCAAGCCGTGGCAAGCCGCGGGCAGGCTGCGGCGGGTTAGTTCGATGGTATCCGGCTGCGGCGAGTACATTGCGTGGCAGGGCAGGCGGTGGCCACACAGCACGCAGGAAGCGAGCGACGGAATTCCGCGGCGGGCGTGCCAAGCCACGGCAGGCTCCGGGCGGCGGGCACGCCGGGTGGGTGCCAGGTTGCGGGCGGCGACCTCCCACCCCGCCAGGAGCCGTGGGCACGAGGGCGCTCGCCGGGCTCACCACGGCTCGACGTGGCCGAGGTGCTGCAGGTAGTCGTGCGGTACGGCGCCGACGCGGTCGCCAAACCGCGCCTGCCACCACTCGGCAGAGGTGCGACGGAGCAGCTCCAGCTTGTCGCCCACGCGAAACCCGAGCTCCCGCTCGGAGCGAGCGGCGTAGTCGAAGCGCGCCACCGCCACGCACGGGCAAGGGTCTAGAGGGAGGGAGGGAGGGAGAGGGAGAACGTACGCAGCACGTACTCACGTGGGCGAGCGTGTGGGCAAACGGACACACGTACACACATAGGGATGGTAGGCACACAGACACACGTACACGTGTACACACATACACAGGTGGGCGAGTGTTACGTTTTAGTTACAAATGCACACACACATGCACAGACCACACATGCATATGCGTGTGCCCACAGTCAGTAAACGTGTGATAATAATTAAGATGAGGTAAAGAGGTGAAAAGGTGAGGTGACAACGGAAGGAGGTGACGGGGGCGATGAGGTGACGACGGATGCTCACCATCGTCTACGGAGATCTCGTCTTGCGACGTCCCGTCGTCAGAACGTAAACCCTCAGCCGACGAGGAGTCACTGTTGCACATCGACACCGTCACCATCGACACAATGTCACCGTCATTGCCGTCATCACTGTTGTAAGCAAGTGCATCGCCAACAATCACTACCCTCACCACCACCAAAGACAAAGATCCCTGGTATAGCCTGAACAGACTGTAGGGGCAAGTGCTGTTTGCGAGCACCTATGAAGGCCAGCTCGGCACACGAGGGGGTGGGTGGCCAGCACCAAGCCCGGTCACCTTTGTCTCTCCAGTGGCGATGTTTACACACCGCACCAGGTACTCATTTGAGGCCGAGTCGACCGGTTCAGATAATTTTCACTGGTGTTGGGCCACGAGCGGGAATCGAACTCGGGGCGCCAGGTTCGTAGTACAGCGCGCTAACCGCTACACCGCCGCTCCCCAACCGCTCCATCCACCGCCAGCACCACCGCCGCAACCACCGCTGCCACCACCGCAGTTCTCCGCACCACATCTCGTCGTCGTCCTCGTTGTCCGGCGCCAGGACGGGCCGGTAGATGGGGCCCGGGAGCTCTCGCGGTGACGGGAAGAGCGAGTCGGCCTCCACCAGGATGAGCTTCACCAGCTCGATGGCGCTGCCCTGGCACATCACCTGGTCAAACTCAGGTGGCACGGGCGCCAGCGTTGGCCCAAAGCACACCGCCAGGTTGTAGCTGTCCATCATGTTCTCATCGCGGAAGCCCGACAGGCTGTGGGCGAGACACGGAGAGGGAGACACGCGGGGGGAGAGAAGGTCAAGGGAGGAGACATGGGAGAAGTGGGAGATATCGGGAGGGGTGGGAGATATGAGCAGCACACTGCCAGGTTGTAGTTATTCATGTTACGGTAAAACCTTGGATTGCGAGTAACTTGGTCTGCGAGTGTTTTGCAAGGCGGGCAAACATTTTAAATAAATACTAATTTGATAAACGAGCGAGGTCTTGCAATACGAGTAGTGTACGTATACACTTTGTCTGCCGAGCGTCACGTGATCACGACTGATATACGAGTGCTTTTATATACGAGTGCTTTGGATTACAAACACGTTTCCGGGAACGAATTATGCTCGCAATCCAAGGTTGTACTGTATTAAGTTTTAGTAAGATATAAAAAAATATATACACGTATTGTAATTTTGCTATCAAAGTGTCAAGTGCTCCCCTGCGCCAGTCTGGCTCAACTGTAGACACTTCATAACCGCTTCTGTTTAAACGTTGCACACAGCTCACTGTGAAAGTGCAACATTCCAACTGAACTATTAATCACCTGTCAGAATCAATTGACTAGTGTTTTTTTTTTCTATTAGCCTCCTGTCATGGGAATGTGGAATATCCAGTTCAATCAGGGCAGGCCACCAACAGAGACGAGGACAAAAAACAACGTTCGCCTGAGGATGGGAGACACTGTTCCATCCGACTGGGAAAAACAAAAAAATCACCCAGAATCAGAATATGTATTCGTACTGGATGAATCCCGATGAGCTATAAAGCTCTTTTTCAGGATTCTGTATCTGTTTCCCAACACGCGTGTTTGTCCTCCTAAGTCTTTAATCGGCGAAAATAACGTCCAACGTCGAGACAGAGCGATGAAATCCAGGTGCCGTAGATGGATTGTTCCACTCTGGACCCGCATAAGGGATTAACAAAGGTTCGGAAAGGTCTTGATCCAGCGGTGAATAGAACATGGATTATGTTGATCACAATAACGTTGAGGAGGCGGAGACCATGGAGGATGATAATGGGTCACGTTTGATAACGTGAAGAGGTAACGGAGGACAACAATGATGGCGATGATGATGATGAGGTGGTGACTGTGGCCGTAACTCACTGGTTGAGGAAGGTGAAGAGGTAGCGGAGGACGACGATGACGGGACAAGGGAGCTTGCGGATGAGGTCCCGGAGGCATGCGATCCTCTTATGATGCTCAGAGATTTCTGGGTAACGAACACAAATCACTGTTAGCGAGCGCCTATTACCATCGGCATGCTACACAGGTGGTGGTGAGGCAGGAAGCTCTCGTGTGTAGGTCTGTGTGTTAGTGTGTGTGTTATTGTGGCACAGCAGGGGGTACAGGTGGTGTATCGGCCAGTCATCTCAGTCAGTGGACCCATGGCACCTGGGTCTATCCCGTGACCTCCTGCCAGCAGGGATTCTACATTTCACGTGGCCTTAACGTGTCTCTGTTAAGACAACGATGCCCTATTGTAGCCTACACATGCTGGTTGGGGCAAGGTTCAAACGTCACTCGCCACTGACTCACACAGTGGCCGAAAATCAAACCCAGGTCACCGCGTTCAACGAGCAGCGCATTAACCGCTACGCCACCACTCCACACAGAACCGCTTCTGAACCTCCCCTGGGTCGGCTCAGCCTGAAACGAGTACCGGTGCGGTGTGTGGGATGACACAGACGGCCGGGCGTAGTGCTGGCTGTATCACCCCCCCGCCCCTCATGTGCCGTGCCGGCATTCACATGTGGCTTAATAACGGCACTTGCCACGATGGTCTGTTAAACGCTATACGGGGGGATATTTTGTCTCCGTGTGCGTGTCTTACTGATGCAATCCAGGAAGTCTTGGTACATGTGTGAGGGGAACAGGGGCTTCTCCAAGCCCCGGAAGTAGGCCTTGAGCACGCCCGCCACGCTGTCTATCGCTCGCCCATCGTCATCGTCATCCAACGGGTCCTCACCTGGTGAGCGGAATCAGCCATGAAACCACCATCAGCATGTGTGATATACGACGTCAAGCCCCCCCGATAACTGGGATCAACCACGATAACCAGAATAAACCATGAAACCACCAGGAACATGTGATAACCGAAATAAACCTAAATAACGTCAACCCCAATAACCGCAATCAACCCCGATAACCAACATAAAATTATGAAGCCACCATCATCAGCATGCGTGGAACGCCATCAGCCCCGATAACGGCTATCCACGGCAATGATCAACATTTCCTCAATCCTATCAACCACCAGCCCCGGATAACTACCACCAACCCCAAATTAACCTATATCAACCCCAATGATCGACATCCCACAATCCCTTCTTCCATCAGCCCCGGCAACCAGCGTTCCACAACGTCGATCGACCCCGATATCCGGATCGTGGCGCTGGATGTCGCACCTCTCTCGAACGCCGATTTGATTTCGGTCATCTGTGTCAGCGATCCCGATATGCGGAAGATTCCCTCGTGGTGGAGCCCTGAAGTGTCAGAATCGCGAGCGTTAGAACGAGCGTGCGAGCACTCGCACAACCATCACGTCACCGCTACACCACTCACACCGCAACTACACCACTCACACCACCGTTACACCGTCGCGATAACACTCACTCCACCGTTAGACCACTCACACCACCGTTACACCAATCACACCACCGTTACACCAGCTTAATACCACTCACCCCAACCTTAACACCATTCACACCACCCCTGAACCACTCACACCACCGTTATACCATCACAACCCCGTCAGTCCGTGAAGTATACCGCGTGGTGTCTTACCGTGCAGGTTGATGTAGCGTACACAGCTCTCGACCACCAAGGGCACAGGCTGGTTAGACTCCTGGTTAAAAATAAGAAGACACCAATGCATATAAATACCTACTGCTGCACGCAAGAACATGATTCACTCTCGTTACACTTGTTCACCCGTGATGAGCCTCACTTTTCAGGAGGGTCCTGTCTGCGCCAATATCCCACCCCAAGCTCTGCGGACCTCTACATATGAAGGTGTTATCGGCCAATTAACGAGGATTTACTTGCCCCAACAGTACTGGGTCCATAAATCTAGATTGAAAACGAATTTTAGAACGACTCTTTGTGTTTAAGTTTGTTGTCCTTCCCCCGCACCTCCGATTACCACGTTTGGCTACGTACAGTGCGAAAGAAGTTCAACATACATACATACATACACACGTCAACGCAGCAGATCCGTTTCGAGCCGAGCAGGTCCCCTCACCTTGATGTACGCCTCGAGGTCTCCGTTAAACAGCTTCACGGCCACCCGCGAAGCTGGCCGGTGTCTCCGGATCTTCTGCGGCTTTGGAGGGATGGACGGAGGCCTGAAACGGCGATGGCAAGCGAGGGGAACATCGCAGATGCGCACAGATTGTTACACTTTCCAGCATGCCTTTGGCCGCGAGCTGCCGGTTCATACCATCGCGCACAGAATCAGAAGTCATTTATTCTTAAGGAATCCGATGAGCCTTAAAGCTCTTTCTCACACATGTTCAGTAGGGGCACGGGGTCAGAACGGTTACAACAACAAACAAAACGAAAACACGATGGAAGTGCAAAGTACAGGAAGGATAAACCAATCACAAATACAAACAAAACGGAGCTATTTTTTAAAATTTTACGAGGTAAAACCAACCGAGTTATTAGCTTCTTTTTCAGAAACGACTCAGCCACATATTATAGCTTAATGAAGGGGACCATCACGTATAAACTTATCGCGGCACTTGACCCAACAGCCTGGGTAGGCCGCACGGGTGGTGGGGGATCCTTTGTGAGCGATTTGATGCGATGTGCAGAACGTTTGAGAAAGCAAGCGACTGAGAAGCACAGTTGGAGAGTACAAACCTCGATCCGGAGTTTTCATTCTCCTTACCTGCGAGTAAAATAAATCGCACAAAAAACACACAAACGTTAGCCCATCCAGCAGCGAAATCGACCAAGAGGCCTGCGGGCACCAGCGGCGCAGTAATTTTCTCCACGCTCGGCGATTCAGGGCGGGCGATTCAATGCAACAGCAGCAGGCTGGCACAGCAGCGGTATTATGCTCGTGTGCTTCCAAGCAAGAGCGACCTGGAATGTTCGATTCCCGACACGGGTGTGCCTTTCTGTGTGGGTGGTTTGTGCATTCTCTCCCCAGTTTGTATTCCCCATGGGTGTTCTCCGGGTTTCCCAGTTTCCTCCCACAGCTAACATAACGTATGCCGTGTAACTGGTCTTGGCCAAGCCGTCCCACTGCTAAAGAAGTACCCACAGACATTTTATACCGTTGTGTGGACGGAGGTGTGTGGCGGGGGAGGGTTTGATTTGAGAAGCGTTGCCCCGTTGTTTCAACTGGCACGCCAGGAGATCAAATTCAACCTAAACTATAAACCTATCATGACTTAAAGCTTTCGTGACTGCAGGAATTCATATTCTTTGGGCCTTTCGGTAAAGTCACGGAGATAGGAAACGTCGTAGTTTTTTGTTATTTTCTTTAAACCTATCCATGTGACTTTACCGAAAGACCCAAAGAATATGAACCTATCATTATTTTACCAGGTAAGGCCCACTGAGTTAAATAGCTCTTTTCAGAAGCGACCTGGCTATCACAAATGATGGCCCAATTAAATGGCTTATTACGTGGAAATTTAAAGCAGCCAAATACTCTAAACGCATGTTTATTCTAAATGTGGAGGGAAAAACCGGAGGGAAATCCATGTGACCACGTGGAGAGACACGCAAACTCGAAATATACAAAAGGCGTCGAGGCCGGGATCGAACCCACGACCTCCTGTACACCAAGCGAGGTAGTTAACATCTCCGAGCCACCGAGGTGCCCCAAAAACGGTGTCCTGCTAATCATTACACCTCAATTCACGTGCTACGAATAAGGGCCATTTGGCCAAAACGCCACCGATTAAATATTTGTCCTTTTAAGGCCACGCACATAGTGTCACTGACAAATGTGTTGAGTTTTTTGGTTTGTTAATTACACATTAATATCCATCGTGAGCCCCCCTGCCCCCAACTCAACAACTCAACAAGAGCCCCCACACAAACCATTGCCTCATTGCTTCTTCCCCCCCCCCCCCGTTCCACTTCCCTCTGCCACATTTGCACATGTCATAAACACTTCTGTTTTTCGGTTTTAGATGCATTTTTTTTGGCACGGAGGCCGAAGTCAGTGGCTTATAGCTTGGCGTCACGAGCGCCGGCCAATTGCCACGGCCCGACCGCCAAAGCTGCTGGAAACACCGAAGCTCGTAGAACGGTGGCGATAAAACGAATATAAAAACGCTCGAGATTTTATGGCAAAGGACACAGAAAAAAATCTCACCTAAAACCCATTCTCTGCTGAATTTGTGCAGCGATAGCTAAACAAAAAAATGAGGAAGTGAAAGGGGGAAATAATTTAATTAATCTGCACGAAAAAGCGGAAGTTTTGAAACGGGAAATGTTGCGGTGGGAAAAAGTGAGGCCGCAGCAATGAATGTGGCGGATTGCCCGCAGGGTGACGAGTCTAAGACAGTTATACGTCCAAACGTGCAGAAACAGCGTAAATATAACGTGCAGGCTTTCACGACTAATATACCATTCATGATAAAAATCATGAACGGTGAGTCAAATGTGTGTCGTATACCCTCACAATCCGATGCAGCCAATTAATAAAGCCGTCACGTGATGAATAAACGCGCAAACGTATGACTGCTTCAGACCACCGGTGATGCGGGAGAGCAATTCCACACCGTTGAACAATTGGGAACGACGCTTCGCTGGTAGCACGCATTTACTTTAATCGGGGGGGGAAAAAAAAAAGAGGCATGAGGGATCTAACATTTTTAGATCATCCCGGCAGGGTGGTGGTGCAGTGGCAACAAGTGTCCGTGTTTGATTTCCGACCCAGGGTTTGTATGTTCCACCCCTTTTTCTGCATGGGTTGCCTCTGCGTTCCCCAGGTTTCTTCTTCTGGGTTCCCCGGTTTCTTCCCACGGCTAAGAGAAAAAAAAAACCCACCATGCTATGTAGCTGGTATTGGCCAGACGAAAAATCACAATGCTGAAAACATTAATAGGCAAAGTCAGTTTAGCTCTTCGGAGGCTTTCGCGACCAAAATTATCCATAAGAGGTTTTTTTTGGTTAGATCGCTTAAATATGTCGTTAAACCCGCCACCACACGACCCAGCCAATACCTACTATAATCACCCAGGAATATCTGTCCTTAACGCTCATGACGTCACTCCACATCGACCATCCCTAAAATAGACACCCCCCCCCTCACTAATAATCATGCGCAAGTGACGTCACTCCACATCAAAGAGCCCCCCTCAGTAATAATCATGAACAGGTGACGTCCTCCAAATGGACACCCCCCCCCCCATTAACAGGCGCCTCCTCCCCCCTCCTCATCGTCAACTTACAACCCTCACTACAAAGGCAGAACCCTCACGTCATGCGATCTCCGTCACGCTATTTAGACATCAAAGTAAAAATGACGTCATGATGAACAAGGGATTATAACCTTTAAATGAAATAAGTCTGTGTCACCGCGGCCTTACAAATTGCGCACGCATTAATGCAATATCACGTCGCGCTCTGCTTTTCGCTTGCAAGTTTGAGATATACTGCAATACACCCGTCCTTGGACGGGAAAAAGGCTAGTCACGTGCCAATTCGTTAGTAGTACAGCACACCGGCGTGTGTTGGAGATTCGTACTCGAATTGTAGATGTTGTAGTGGGTTTATTCTGCAACACACCGGTGTGCTGTACTAGTAACGAATTGGCGATGTTTTGTTTACGTGACAAACCTCACTAATTGACTGTGTTCCGCGTGGTGGTTACAGGTTTAACAACACATTTATATTTACATCATCTAAGCCAAAAAAAACTCTATTATGGATTAATCAGCAAATTAATCAATTGAAATTACACACAGCAGCAGCAACATTGCCCCCCTTTACTGCAAAAACACTTGGCAGGACCCTCCAGAACGAAAATCCCGAGACCCAGTGAGGTAGTAACAATCCGCCACCACCACCTGACACAGCCAATTAGTAAGGTTTGTTACGTATTCAAAAAGTGCCGATTCTCTACTAGTTTAGCACTAACTGGTTGTGTGTTGGAGAATTAACCCACGACATTTACAATTCGAGTACCGTGACGTTTCGCCGGTAATTACAATGGGCATCATCATGTCACAGCCAGAGTTGTGGACAAATCCTCCTCCTGTTTCGGTCTTAAAGAGGAATAAGTGTGATGTCATCACTTGTGAGCCAATCAGGTGCAAGGACCAGAGGAGGGGGGGTTAATTTATTCAAATAAATTACAATGGATATCTATAATTGGTTTGATTATTCACAGTTAATAATCCCCAAGGCAAGCTTGTGGTGTGAGGAGGAAGGGGTTTAAGTGCGGAGTGGGCTGTGGATGCTGAGTCAAAGCGTACCCTTGCCCAGCGCGCGACTCATCAGCCCGTGCTTCGCCTCCAGTTTCGTAATGATGCCGTTCATTTCCATAAAATTCTGCAGCTTCTGCGGGGTACAAACATCATGGTTGTAAATGACAAATTGTGCCGATGGTGATTGTGACGATGAGGGTGGTGATGAATGTGGAAGTGATGAGTGTGGTAATGATAGTGGTGATTATGATGATGTTGGCAACATTGAATGTCGTGGCGATTATAATAATGGTCGTGGCAATGAAGGTGGAAATGGTGACGGCGGTGACGTTGGTGATGGTGGTGCTAACGGTGGCAATTTTGAGCGAAAAAAATATTTAATTTACAAGCAGAACTCCATTCCACGTCTCCACAAATGTAGTCCATCGGTCTATCGACCTCCCGTGCCTCACCACATCAACAGACAGGCTTGTCAAACAAATGCGGTTGCTGGTGCTGCTGCTGCTGCTGCTGCTGCCGCTGCCGGGTGACCAGATGTTCATGGCAAGTGCGCATCTTAATCTCAATTTCAGGGGGGTGGGGGGGGGAGGGGCATTTCGTCGCCCTTCAGACTGCGCTCACGTCGACATAGAAGTTCTCCATATCTATCTGCTGCTTGCGCCGAGCGACGAGGGGCAGAGGAGAGGGCGACGTCGGGGCCTGCGGGGTCCTCCCCCCGCCCTCGCCGACATCTCCACCATCTAGGTCCGAGCCCCTCGGCGTCCCGTCGCCCAGCCGGAAGAGCCGCGCCATGTCGTAGTCCTCTTCGGTGATGAGGAAGTCCTTCAGAGACTTCAGAATGACGTCCATCGTCTTCTTCACCTGCGCGCAGACGGGATATCGCGACGGCCCGGTGATCATGCTGATGGTGGTAATAGTGGTGGTGGTAATAGTGGTGGTGGTGGTGGTGATAGTAGTGGTGGTGGTGATGATGGTAGTGGTGGTAGCAATGGTGGTGGCGATGATGACGGCGGTGGTGGTAATGATGGCAGTGGTGGTGATAATGATGATGGAAGTGGTGGTGATGGTGGTAGTGGTGGTGATGATGATGATCGTGGTGTTGGTGACAATCACGACTGAGACACTATGAAGACAATGACAACGATGAACACAACCGCTCATTCCCACCTCTTCACACTCGAGTTTATTTTTCTCGAGTTTTGCCTTGACACTTTTGAATCGTAACTCAAGGTCTTGATGCAGGCGATCCTGAGCGGTGATTTGAGAAACCTGCAACAGACACAGACATGCAGACAAGGCACACAAAACAAAGACACGCGCAGATCAAACCTCCCAAGACGCAACAAAAACAACGGCCGCCATTCGCCCCTAAATGGCGGTAACATCACCAGAGGGGCTGTACGTCACAATTACATTGTATGCGTCATCTCAGACCATACCCCATCATGTCCCGCACCTCGTCGTCACCTCCCACACCTCGTCACGACCCACACTTGCCGTCGCTTCCCGCACCTCGTCGTCACCTCCACACGACTGACCACCGCTCTCCACGCCTCGTCGTTACGCTCCGCACCCCGTCGTCGGCCGGCACAACCTCGTCGCCACCTCCCGTACCTCGTCGCCAGCGTGAGCCAGGAACATGAGCTTGGGTGGCACGGCCTTGTCGAGCCCTGTGGCCGCGAGGAACTCCTTGCGGTCGTTGCGGCTCACGAGGCCGTTCACGGAGAGCTCGACCGCGTCCAGAGCTCGCGTGCGCGAGTCCGTGAGACAGAACTCCGCCGAGAGGTAGCAGCGCAGAGCGCCGTTCAGGCCCTCGTAGAAGCCCACCTCGTTCAGCTGGGGAGAGAGAGACAAAGGCGGTGATTGTGGTGTGAGAGATAACAGCGCAGAGGTGGTGAGAGTGCGAGAGAGAGGATGTGTGCGATGTGTGTGCGAGGTGTTCCATGGTGCGTGTCATATGGCGTGGTGAATGTGTCGCGCAATAGCAATGACGTCCATAACATGATGATGGCAACGCACATGATAATGTCAAGATGATATAATCGTCAATAATTACGATTTCTCATAACATCATCAATGACATCTACAATGATGTTCGATGACGATGAGAAATTCAATCATGTTTGCATCGATGCCGATCATAACGGCAATGTTGATGACGATATCAATGACGACGCCAACATCTGTCTTGACGTTCAATGATAATGGCAATGACAACGACGATGATGGTGTCAACAAATTATCCGGCGACGATGGTGGCGACGATGATTATTTACGATGACGATAACACGATCAACGTTTTCTTACGCCGACGACATGAACCACAGCTCAGACAACAGAGTCAGCGTCGATGCCGACGATCGCGTCGATGATGCAGACCATCGCGTCGATGATGCAGACCATCGCGTCGATGATGCAGACCATCGCGTCGATGATGCAGACCATCGCGTCGATGACGCAGACCATCGCGTCGATGACGCAGACGATCGCGTCCATGACGACGATCGATCGCGTCGATGACGACGATCGATCGCGTCGATGACGGCAACGTTGACAAGGACGTCCGTGGAGTGAGTCTCACGTCAAGCAGGCGGTGCAGGTCCAACGTGTAGTACTGCTTGAGTGCCGTTTCCGCTGATCCCAGCGCCAGCAAGTAATCGTTCCGCTGCTTGGCAGTGGCAAACTTGCTCTGGATGAACTTTTCCTGCCACTGCGCACACACGGCCGGCACAGCGGAGTCAGCGAGCACCGACTGCGGCTGGCAAGGCACACTTAGCAATGTTTTTGGGGGAAAACAAACTCTAATAATAGGTTTTTCACCCTTTTTTTCCGGCAACAAAACTGACACCGTTTTACAAGGAATCATGTTTGCATTAACCACAATACCTTGCGGTCAGAATGCAAACAAAAAACAACTCTGATAATGTATGCATTGTCCTTGAAATTGATTGTTCCACACCCAGAGACAGCTTTTCTTAGAGCCCAGTCTCACGTGGTGTTGGACCAGATGACGCCAAAAGGCAAAGGAGGCCACATGATGTAAATCAAATTCTATTTTTTTCAATCTAGATTGAAAACTCATTTCTTCTTTGTGTGTTTAGTTTAGGCCTTCCCCCGCACTTCCGATTAGCACGGTTGGCTAAGTAGGGTGCGAAAAAAGTTAAACATACATACATACAATCGGCTAACTGTACTAGATAAAAATAATGCTGCTGCCAGACTCCTCACCCGCACACAGGACCACGTCACCGCAGCGCGCCGATCACTTCACTGGCGCACAATGCAATCCTGGATCGAATTCACAATCACGCTCAGCGTCTTCAAGAACCTCCAAGCACTCTCCCCTGCCTACTTTCTCCCCTCTCATCTCACTCCACTCCTCTCCGCGCGCACCCCCCTCTTCAGCAAATCAAGACTTTGTGCCGAAATCCCCCAGTCTGCCATCGCTCAGTGGGAGGTTGTCCATTCTCCTCTGTTACATCCACAGTCTGGAATGCTCTACCCCCCAAGCCGTCCGTGCTCTGGGCTCCCTGCCCCTGTTCAATCCCAGGCTCAATACCTTCCTCCTCTGCCTATGGCTGACTCACACAGAGCCCTATGACTGACTGCCCCTCTCTCTCACTGACTCACAGAGAGCCCTATGACTGACTGCCTCTCTCTCTCACTGACTCACACAGAGCCCTATGACTGCCTCTCTCTCACTGACTCACACAGAGCCCTATGTCTGACTGCCTCTCTCTCTCACTGACTCACACAGAGCCCTATGACTGACTGCCTCTCACTCTCACTGACTCACACAGAGCCCTATGTCTGACTGCCTCTCTCTCTCACTGACTCACACAGAGCCCTATGACTGACTGCCTCTCTCTCTCTCACTGACTCACACAGAGCCCTATGACTGACTGCCTCTCTCTCTCACTGACTCACACAGAGCCCTATGACTGACTGCCACTCACTCTCACTGACTCACACAGAGCCCTATGTCTGACTGCCTCTCACTCTCACTGACTCACACAGAGCCCTATGACTGACTGCCTCTCACTCTCAGACTCACACAGAGCCCTATGACTGACTGCCTCTCCCTCTCACTGACTCACACAGAGCCCTATGTCTGACTGCCTCTCACTCTCACTGACTCACACAGAGCCCTATGACTGGCTGCCTCTCACTCTCAGACTCACACAGAGCCCTATGACTGACTGCCTCTCTCTCTCTCTCTCTCTGACTCACACAGAGCCCTATGACTGACTGCCTCTCTCTCTCTCTGACTCACACAGAGCCCTATGACTGACTGCCTCTCGCTCTCACTGACTCGCACAGAGCCCTATGACTGCCTCTCTCTCACTGACTCACACAGAGCCCTATGTCTGACTGCCTCTCTCTCTCACTGACTCACACAGAGCCCTATGACTGACTGCCTCTCACTCTCACTGACTCACACAGAGCCCTATGTCTGACTGCCTCTCTCTCTCACTGACTCACACAGAACCCTATGACTGACTGCCTCTCTCTCTCTCACTGACTCACACAGAGCCCTATGACTGACTGCCTCTCTCTCTCACTGACTCACACAGAGCCCTATGACTGACTGCCACTCACTCTCACTGACTCACACAGAGCCCTATGTCTGACTGCCTCTCACTCTCACTGACTCACACAGAGCCCTATGACTGACTGCCTCTCACTCTCAGACTCACACAGAGCCCTATGACTGACTGCCTCTCCCTCTCACTGACTCACACAGAGCCCTATGTCTGACTGCCTCTCACTCTCACTGACTCACACAGAGCCCTATGACTGACTGCCTCTCACTCTCAGACTCACACAGAGCCCTATGACTGACTGCCTCTCTCTCTCTCTCTGACTCACACAGAGCCCTATGACTGACTGCCTCTCTCTCTCTCTGACTCACACAGAGCCCTATGACTGACTGCCTCTCGCTCTCACTGACTCGCACAGAGCCCTATGACTGACTGCCTCTCACTCTCACTGACTCACACAGAGCCCTATGACTGACTGCCTCTCTCTCTCACTGACTCATACAGAGCCCTATGACTGACTGCCCCTCTCGCTCTCACTGACTCACACAGAGCCCTATGACTGACTGCCTCTCCCTCCCACGGACTCAGACAGAGCCCTATGACTGACTGCCTCTCTCTCACACTGACTCACACAGATCCCTATGACTGACTGCCGCTCTCTTCTCACTGACTCACACAGAGCCCTATGACTGACTGCCTCTCTCTCCCACAGACTCAGACAGAGCCCTATGACTGACTGCCTCTCTCTCTCACTGACTCACAGAGCCCTATGTCTGACTGCCTCTCTCTCTCTCACTGACTCACACAGAGCCCTATGACTGACTGCATCTCTCTCTCACTAACTCACACAGAGCCCTATGTCTGACTGCCTCTCTCTCTCACTGACTCACACAGAGCCCTATGTCTGACTGCCTCTCTCTCCCACGGACTCAGACAGAGCCCTATGACTGACTGCCTCTCTCTCTCTCACTGACTCACAGAGCCCTATGTCTGACTGCCTCTCTCTCTCACTGACTCACACAGAGCCCTATGACTGACTGCGTCTCTCTCTCACTAACTCACACAGAGCCCTATGTCTGACTGCCTCTCTCTCTCACTGACTCACACAGAGCCCTATGTCTGACTGCCTCTCTCTCCCACGGACTCAGACAGAGCCCTATGTCTGACTGCCTCTCTCACTCTCCCATGGACTGTATTGAATAGCCATGCTCACTGTGCAGTGTCTTGATACTGTGGTCGGATTTAATGCTCCCACATATATGCTCTCCGGCATTCATCAACCCACACTGCCGAGGATCAATCAAGGACAATTGCACCCCCCCCCCCAATCATCTGCCCTGCAAGGCCTCATCCAGAAATGGGTATACATGGCCGTGAGATCACGTGACACCATGGGGATGGAATTTAAGAGAAGAGAAACAAGCACACTGTATGCATTCAGGCGGTGGCGGAGAGGTCAGGTCGCCCGTTCCCACGGCCACTGGTGAAACGAGACACCTAAGACGGAGGGTGTGGTGCTTACCCACGTAAGCATGCAATCATTCGCCCATTCACTGACCCTCTCGCTCGCTCACTTTACCATTCGCCCATTCACCGACCCTCTCACTGGCTCACTATATCATTCCTCCCACCTCACTCACCCGCACGCACGCTCACTTTATAATTGGCCCATTCACTCACTCACTGGCTCACTTGATCATTCGCCCATTCACTGACCCTCACGCTCGCTCACTGTATAGTTCGCCCACTCACTCTCTCGCTTACTCGCTCATTTTAGAAATCGCCCAATCACCGACTCTCTCGCTGGCTCAATTTAGCATTCGCCTATTCACTCGCTCTCTCACTTTATCATTCGCCCATTCACTCTCTCTCACTTTTTTGCCCTTTTCACTTGCTTATTCAATAAATCTCCAGATGAATTTTGTGTGCGAGTGTACTGTGTGTGTGACGCGCAAGATAGGGTAGTGTGCATCGGCATGGTGACAATCGTGAGCAGGCTGCTGCTACCTGCCCAGTGACCCAAGTTCGATTCCCAGCCACGGCTATTATCAGTGATACCTGAACCCGTCCTCTGCACTCCCTAATCACTAATCCACACCGACCAGCGTGGTGAAATATGGTGAAATGCCCCCCTTGTCCAACACAGCTTGGGTTTGCCTTCGTCCAGCGGCGGTCAAAGGACCGTACATTTATAATAATTTGAACTTGTGACGCACCGCACAGTATTGACACACTCTCAAAGAGAGAGGGAACAATTCAGAGGCGCGAGGAACCAGACAGGCGAGGAACGCAGCAGCCAGGCGGTAAGCCAGCACTAAATCCCTCCCAAACCCCCCTAAGCTCTGCCGTCCTCTATATATTAAGGTGTTATCGGGCAATTATTCAAGTATGCGGGGGGGCAACACTCTATCCCACACAAATGGAATGTGTGTAGTCCACATTTGCTGTACCGCATTCCCCTGGCAAGGCAGGGTATGGCACCTTCCTCGAAGCACGTGGAAAGGGATTTTCACGACGTTTGTGTGATCCACCAACCCCCGCAACAACACAGTGCTGAATTACAGGACACGTCCGTTAGCCGCCACCGCACAGCTAAAACATTCTAACGTAAAAAAAAAACTAAAAGCTTTTCACCGTTAAATTTCCTTCACGACGACGACCATGATGATGTGCAGAGTTTCAAGCCCTGTCGATTCTTGCCACACAATAAAAAATTGCAATGCGACGCTAAACACGAATTGCACTCCAATGCAATCCTCTTCCTGATCCTCCACCTCGGAGTCCTCCTCCTGGTCTTTCCCCGCGTGGTCCCCCCTTCTGATCATCCCGTTCTCCTCCTGATTTTCCCGCTCTTTCTGGTTGCTGGCAACTGCTTTACCATCCCCTATAGTCCCGCACTCCCTCTAGACCCCTAAAATCCGACCCGTCCCCGCACCTCCGATTAGCACGGTTGGCTACGTACGGTGCGAAAGACGTTAAACATACATACATGCATGGCAGTGCGGTCTTGCCGCGAGTCCGTACCTTCTCCCGGTTCTTCTCGTTGCGTTTCGCTCCACTCTCTCCCTGCTTCTCCTCGCGCTTCAGCACGTCCTGAAGCTTTGCTTCCGCCAGCACGCTCTCCGAGTGAAAGGCGTGGTAGTCACGCATGCTCTGGAAACGGGCGGGCGGGCGACACGCAGTGTGTGAACAACAAACGCCGTCGCGACGGAAAAGGAGAGAGCGTGTCCTGGATATCACGTGGGCGCACAAAACGCGCGCTTCATGTTATCACAACTCAGTCTACGTGAGTCTATGGGTCTTTTTAAAAGACTGCTGGGTCACATCCCTGGTTGCCTGTTCCGCTCCCCCCATAAACCAGAACAGCTTCAGGTACATGGGCCTGGCGGATATTTGCGTGCGTTTTTTTTTGTCGCCAAACGTTCAGCAGCGGGCCTTTGTTCTTGTGTACAGAAAAAAAAATATATACTGTTGTGGGTCCCTATGTGAGTCTATGTATCGCACCAGGTTGAGACCCTCAACTCATTACACTTGAGGACTCCGGTGTAATCACTGTGGTTGGGCGGCTGAGACCAGGACTAAAATCCTGGATTTCAGCGGTGACGGTTCAGCGTCTTTGGAACTCTGTGCTCCTCGGCCACCCCATCACGATAAAGAGTTGAAACGGAAATGGCGATGATGAACGCACCCCGTTGAGTTCTTGCAGGGTTTTGAACAGTTCATCTTGCACCTTCTGAATGATCTCCTTGCTCTGAACACGGTGAAACACAACAATGACGATGTTAAATTAAATAAAAAGTAATCATCAACAGCACGTAATAATAGGGCTTTTCCCCTTTTTTTATTCTGGTGACAAAACTGAAACCTTTTGCAAGGAATAATGTTTACATAAACCACAATACTTGCAGTCAGAATGCAAACAAAAAACAACACTCTGATAATTTATGCATTGTCCTTAAAACTGATTGGTCCACACCAGAGACAGCTTTCCTTAGAGCCTTGTCTCATACGGTGTTAGACCAGACGACGCCAAAATGCGCGCACACACAAAAAAAGGGGAAAAACCCATTTATTATATTTTGGTACTGGCAAAGGAGGCTTCATGATGTAGATATCAACAGCACGTGTTGTACTGTACAAGGAGAGTACATAGCCCACACCACTGAGTGCCTAATAACGATGATGCAGGTGATAACAACAATAGTTACAATAATGAAGTTGGCAATGGTGATAATGATAATATGGACAATGGTGGTGTTGACAGACATGATGTTGATAATGACTAAGATGACGTTGAAGATGATTTCAATGATCGCGACCATGACCATGCCGACGATGATGACCATGCTGATGACCACGATGGTGTCAATTGCAATGATAATGATCCCAATCATGCTAAAGGTGACAAGGATAAACAATGACTATCAAAAAATCTAGAATCAAGATAATTATTATCTTGATTCTAGATTTGAAGTTTTCGTGACTGCAAGGATCCATATTCTTTGGTTCTTTCGGTAAAGTCACGTAGGTGAAACAAAAAAAACATGCTCCCTGTCATCAACAGGCTATTTGCCGTTTCATGTCCTATTTGCTCCCCCCCCCACCCTCTCTTTCCTTGGCTCCGCCCCCCCTCCCTCATCTCTTTAACCCTCTGTTACTAGCAGCTCTTGCCTACTTCAGCAGTTCTGTTTTGCTGTGGTTGTCCCACCTGATAACGGACGCTTGTGTTGCGTCCGAAACGTCGTGATTTAACTTAGTTTTTATTTTAAAACATTTTATTTTATTATTTATTCACCAACGTTACTTTACCGAAAGAACCAAAGAATATTATCTTTATAGCGATGATGATGAAAATGAATATGGAGATGGCCATGATGATGACGATGACAACGATGACAATAATAACCTTGACCATGATGATGCAGTCAATTAAAATAACAATTATGATGACCGTGATGATAATGAAAACAACAATGACGACGATAATGAAGTTGAAGATAATGATGTGTTAATGAACACGGGGTTATTGTTAGGACCGAGACAAAGATGATGACAATTCTGACGCCGAAGACGTCCACGATAATGATGTTGAAGATAATGATGTGTTATTGTTAGGATCGAGACAAAGATGATTATAATTCTGACACCGAAGACGTCCACGATAATGATGTGGAAGATAATGATGTGTTATTGTTCGGACCGAGACAAAGATGATGACAATTCTGACGCCGAAGACGTCCACGATAATGACCGTGACGGTGACCGTGTGTCAATGCTGCCGGTGACAATAAACAACAATGGCGACGACGACGATGATGACGACGGTGTGGATGAAGCTGCAGTCGTCGTCCTGCCTTGCGAAGGAGGCGGGTCGAGTCCTCGTAGCAGTACGAGAGCCGGGGGACCACGGCGGCGTTGTACAAGGACGCCAGCTGCACGTGGTCCGCACTCTCACGCTGAGCCTGCTCCAGCATCATCTGCCAGCATGTGAGCGGCGTGGGCAGCCCACAGCCCTCGCTGCAGCAGCAGCAGCAGCAGTAAGGATGACAAAATAACAAAACCATAAGTGCCATTGCCATCGTCATGATTTTTCAGTTACTAAATAAATGTGTATTTTACCAGGCAAGGCACACTGAGCTATATAGCTCTTTTCAGAAGCGACCACGCCACAAATGATGGCCTCAATGAAGTGGTTTATCACGTGGAAATTCCCTCACCCCTAAGAACATGCAAACTCCAAATATACAGGTGTCAAGGTCGGGACTGAACCCACGACCTCCTGTGCACCAGGCATAGTAGTTAACATCTCGCCACCGTGGCACCCATCATCATCATCAGCATCACCTTACTGGCTATTTTCATCAGAAATGTGTAATGGAGTCCCAAAATAAGCCAAATAAAATCCTAGTTTTCCACGCTCATGCTCAACTACTTATACGGGCAAAGGGGGGGGGGGGTGATCTGAGTAGTAGTTGGGGCTGGCAAAGGGGTGAGCGAGGCCTATGCGCAGGAGATGGGCCCTACATCAGTAAGAGTGAGGAGGAGGCTGCTCACTGTGTGGGCAGGGATAGCGACGGAGTGGGCGTGGCTATATAAAAGTGGGCGAGGCTGACGGAGGGACAGTGGGGCTAGCAGCTCGCCACACGTCCCAGTGGAACCTCTCAGGCACGTGGGAGCATCGGGGACTTTAAGAGAAACCCGACGGAAAGGGAGGCTGAGAAAGGTCCAGAGGTGAGGAAGGGTGAAGGGGATCCCAGGAGGGAGAGGAGGGCACCTCACCGGAGCAGGGTGTCGCGTGACCCTGGGCGCAGGCGGGCTGCGAACCGCTCGGCGAGGCGGTCGAGCGAGCGGGCGTACTCGTTCTCGATGTCGGCGCGACGACGCAGGAACTCGATGGAGTCGGAGAGCACGGCCAGGCGCAGGTCGGCGTGGTGCTCCAGCGTGTGCACGTGCTCCGCCAGGGACGACCGCAGATCTGGCACGCGACAAAGACAAAGATCCCCCCCCCCACTGTGTAGCCTCGACAGACTGTTGTTGGAGAAAGTTGCCGAGTCGCCGCCTATGGAGGCCGGCACGACACACGAGGGGGTGGGTGGTCAGCATCGTGCAAAGGCCACTTTTTTTTATCCTAGTAGCCATGTTGACACATTTCACCAGGTACTCATTTGAGGGTAAGTGGAGCGAATGGAGGCCCAGGACCGGTTCAGATAATCGTCACTGGTGTTGGCCGAGGAGGAATTGAAATCGGGTCATCGGGTTAGTAGCACAACGCGCTAACCACTCCCTACCGCTGCCCACAAGCACAACACAAGCACAAAGACAAAGATCCCCCGTAAAGCCTCAAAACTTTTGAGGAAAGTGCCGTCGGCGAGCACCAATGAAGGGCGGCACAGCACGAATATAAGTATTCAATAAACACAACGCAGCGTCTTCAAGCACAATGAAGTAGGGCCATTGTTATTGACGAATGTGTTCAGTTGTTTGGTGATTTGTGCACTACTGCCAACAAAGCAGCGGCATAAGGAATGTTATTCCAAGATATAGTTGAACTTATTCAGTTATGAGAATAGGTTTTCCCCTTTTTTCTGGCAACAAAACAGCTGTGTGAAGATGTTAAAACACCAAACTGAAACCTTTTACAGGGAATCATGTCTGCATTAACCACAATACTTGTGGTCAGAATGCAAAAAAAAACGTACTCTGATAATATATGCATTGTCTTTGGAACTGATTGAAACTGAAAGTTTGGTACTCTTTGGGTTTTTCGGTAAAGTCACGTGACTTTACCGAAAAACCCAAAGAGTTTGAATCCTTGCAGTCACGAAAGCTTCAAATCTAGAATGAAAGTTTGGTGTTTGAACATCTTAACACAGCGGTTTTGTTGCCAAAAAAAAAGGGGAAAACCTATTCTCATATTTTGGTACTGGCAAAGGAGGTCCCGTGATGTATTCAGTTAGAGTTCAAAGTGTCTCCGAGCAAAGGGGCGGCGACAAGTCGACCTTCCACATTCCTATGGCAGGGCCTGGTTTAAGGCAGCGACCAACCACCAATTGACGTACACACAAAGTGGTGCCTTATTTGTTGTTGTGTATAAACCCTCGAAAGGACGACTGGCTGAATTAACAGTTTGCGTTAAAAACAAAAAGCAGCGCAACAGTGAGTGGGCGTGGCCTACGGCACACTGCAGCCAATCACACGCGAGTGGGGGGGGGGGGACGTGGCCATGCTGCCCTTTGAAAAAAGGTGCCCAAACCAGTTCTCCTGGGTGCATTCTGCAAAACAGACAACAAGGCAAGATCAATGAAAAGTGTGTCAAAATATAGATCTATATATACACTGTCAGGTCAGCAATCATACCTGAAATGCAACCATGGTATCTGGAAATTTAAACAAACTAGAATGTCTGCGGCCCATGGCCACCTTATTCTAGCCCCCTGCGAAGGGCTTCTTGGCACCTCGCCCGTCGCCCCCCCTGATGTCCTCTTCTTCCCCCCCCCCCTCCCCATGTGTGCAGATACTACTGGCTCCATTGTAGGTGGGGTGTGTAGGCATATATTCCTACAAAATACATTCATCTTTTTTGTGGGGGGGGGGGGGGGGTGTCCACAATTGTTGGAACCCTGTTGGATCAACTTTTTACCCCCACATCTGGAGGGCGGGTGGGTCCACTTTCTATAACTGCTTGATTCAGGCCTTCTGAAAGGCTCTTATAATTTAGTTGACGGACAAAGGGACAAACGGAACGCCGGGCTTTCATAATATCACCGTACTAATTTGCGTTGGCAATGCTGCTCCAGCACAAATAACAATGGCTCGTCAACAGAGAGGCCAGAGAGACAGAGTGGATAGTAAGAGTTGGAGAGACCTTCAGGGTTGGCAGCCATTGCGCTATGCTAAGAACTTTGGCTTACCTCACATTACAGGCTGGCGTTGTTTATTTATTTATTTTACCACTGCTTACGAAAGGCGTTGTTCTATTTTGAAACGACTGAACATCGCCAACACAGGCGCAAAGGCGGTGCGCTGTAAACCTCAGAATAAAAAATAAACTGCAAATTGCAATGAAGGGGGAAGACAGAGGAGTTGGCTGATGAGTTTCAGAGTCTAGCAGTGGGGGAGTATGATGGAAGACTGTGATGGTGATGGAGAAGGAGTGTGATGGGGAAGGAGTGTGATGGAGGAGGGTGATGGGTTCCAAGAGTTTGGCAGTCAGTAGTGAGAAGGAAGAGGTAAAGTGATTGCGCCGTAGGGCTTGGCAAAGAAAGTTTAGAGGCGCATTCAGAGCTCAGCGAGTGTCTGTTGAACTTCTTTCGCACCGCACGTAGCTAACCGCGCTAATCGTAGGTGCAGGGGAGGAAGGGAAATCAACTAAACACAACAAGCAGTTCTAAAGAAATTAGTTTTAAATCTAGACTTGAAAGTGCACTGCTCCAGTGGTTTGCTAATATCGCAGGGAAGAGCTTTCCAGACGGTCGAAGATGCGCATCTAAACGCGCGCGATACGGTGACCGTCTTTGTTCGATGACAATCAAAAAGCCGCTGCTGTGAGGATGAGAACTGATTGTATGGTGGAGGTAATAGCGTATACATTGGTTAAAGGTGAGAATGACGGTGACGTTTGGGGGCTGGTGCTGTGGTAACAGGATTAATGTGACTGTGAGGTGCGTAATGAATGTCCGGGGTGAAGGGTTAGAATGTAGGTGTGGTTCAGTGGCGGTGGTGGCCTTGGACACCTGTGGAGTCACGAGACTTACAAAAGCAAAACCTACATTACAACGCACACTCAAGAAAAATACAGACTAAATTAGAAAAAATGGAACAGACGCTTTGAGATTATATGAAGTATTGATATAAATATGAATGAGGGAAAACAGACAGGGTGACGCTCTTTCGCCACTGTTATTATTTACAGCGACGTTCGAATATTTTTTTTATCTTCCAAATTTGACTCACAGCAGTAAAAACGTACAAGTTAATGCTGACACCATGAAGCATCTGAGATTGTATTGATGACATTGTCATTATAATGTCCACTGGGGGCATGAATAGCAGGAAATGTTAAAATGACATAGGCAAGGGTTGGAAAATAACGCAGAGAGATTTGTGGAACTCCAAATCCCTCTTGGCTGCGACGTGGTTAGGAAATGGCAGGGCAGAATGTGGGTTAATTAACTCGTTTGTGCGATCATTTGACCATTATTCCTTTTGTGTGTGTGCTGGATTTTCTCCAAGTTCTCTGGTTGCCAGCCACGTGCAAAACACTCCTCTGTCAAAAATAAATTGGCCAAACATCCAAAATGTAGCAGGACACTTCTGAAAAATAACTGATGTCATGGTGAGACTTTCCTTTACATGGATACATTTGCAATCTCTACATTTTTACCGATTATAAGGCATGTGATGCGTGTAGAATGTTACGGTTAGGATTAGGGAGAGGGCTATAAATTGGCAACGCGGGTTATAAGAATTACGGTTCTGGGTTATGCTAAAGGGTTGTGTCACGATGAGTGTAACAAGATAATATTACACCTGTGTTTGGTGCGGCGGTGCAGTGGTTTTCCGCTACCGCATTACCAAACTGGCGCGTTCGATTCTCTGCTGCGGCTAACATCAGTGGTGAGTGATATGCCGGTCCTGGACACTCTCAATTCACCAACCTGCACTGGTGAGATTTGTCCAAAAAACCCCAACGAAATATACAGCTTGCAGAGAGGCCTTCATCCAGCAGTGGCTGATGACAATAGGATGTTCTCCCCCTGTTCTGCATTGGTTTCTTCTGGGTTCTACTGTTTCCTTCTCATCGGTTAAAAAAAACCCAAGTCACCTGCAACTGACTCGATTAGGATCACAGGTTGAAACATCGGCCCATACTGTGAAAACTTGGCAGAACCCTCCTGAATAAGTCTTGAGACAAAGCGAGGCTTTCCTGCGTAAACAAGCGTACTCATGCAAGGTAGGGTGAAGGTCGAGATTAAGGGCCAGATTATAGTATCCGCGAGTGTGAATTAAGGGTGAAGGTCTGTTTGGGTGACAGGCAGGCACAACCAGACCGACTGTACGCAAGCCCAACTTAGCCTACCCTCAAGCAAACCTGTAGCAGTGTCTAATACCTGAGCTATCAGTTGCGTTCACCTTGGCTGCATGCAACCGAATCGCTTGTATAGGGACGACTCTAAATGCCAGTTTCGAGCGGTTACTCATCTGGTTCACGCACTGCGCCTTTTAGCACTACGATCGCTCGTCACGTGCACTACGCACAATCACTCAAAGGAGTTGGCCAAACATCCCAATGTAGGGCGACAGAGCTTGGGCGATTGTTGGCGCCAGTTCTGGCTGCCCTCCCGCTCTGTTTTCCCGCGCCTCGGAATCTAAGGCGACTGTGCAGAGCGTGTTACCAATTCATAACTTTAACGATACTGACCAGGGTGGGGGTGGGAGTGGAGGTCACAAGACGAGGGGCGAGGCTCTGTTGTGAGGGGCGTGGCCATGCACTGTAGCCACACCCACTCACAGTTATTGTTGCGCAACTATGAGCTCAGATGGGGACAAAGCAGTCGCAGGCGATCGAGCCGGCAGATCTGGTTGCGAAAACGGTTGCTCAGGTGTGTATTCGCCGTATGACCATCAGACCTTGAAAGCAAAGCAAGTTTAAGCCTGGATAGTGCTTTGATGGCTGACCAACAAGTATGCGCAGTAGGCAGGGTTTGTAAGTGCAGCAAAAATACATTTTTATACACGGATTCAGCTCTGAGTCTCCCCTCCCGCACTCTGCACCAACCTACACGAACCAGCTTGGTGAAGTATGGTCAAGTAATCCTCACTCCCTGCACGGCAAGGAGTGGGCCCTCATCCGTTGAACCAATTCTCTCCTTGCACGCAGACCCACAAACTTACACAAAAGTCCCATAGATCTCCAGATTTCCATAGCTTATACAACGCGTACAAATTTATAGTGCCTAGGAATGCAGAGTGTTT